GCCTGGGCGCCGAGCCCGGAGTCATCCCCGGCGCGGGCCGCGGGCGCAGCGGCGGGCGCTCGGAGGGCCGGCCCGCGGCCCGCGCTCCATGCTGCCGCCTCCCGCCGCCGCGCTGCTGTGGCGGGCGCTCCTCGGGCGCCGCTCCGGGCGCTCCCCTGCGCCTTCCTCCGCGAGCCGAGAGTCTCCGAGCACAACTTTCTCTCCCCCTCTCTCCTCGCTGCTCAGGGGGTCGCGGCGAGTGGTTCTAGTACGCGGGTCGTAGCTTTCTCATTGTGCGCCAGCGAGGCCGATCCAGGCTGTCCTTTTCCTCCCGCACTTAGTCTAAGAGGAAGAAAGCAAACAAGACAGAGGAGTGAAGCCCCCGTACATACATGCGCCGGGGGGAGATGTCAGGCGCTGCTCCACCTTCCAAACAGTCACACATCAAACAGTGTCACCCCGCCGGAGCGCCACTTGCTGCCCCGCGCTCCCCGCGGGGCTTTGCCGCCAGGATCGCCGTTCCTTCCTCTGCGAAATCTAATGCAAACACATTTTGATCATGGATTTTTGGCCGGTCTTGATCTTGCGACAGAAAAAAATTTGAAAAATACACAAAAAGCACCCCCCTCCAAAAAAAAAAAAAAAAAAGCCAACAACAACAACCCGGAGAGTGTGTGCAGAGGGGCGAAGAGCGGACATTCACTGGGTGGGCGAGATGAGCGTGGACTGTCCCCCCCAAACTCCTGGGAGAGAGGGAGATGCACTCTCGCTCTCTTCTCTTTTCAGTGAAATATAACACACATTCGGATCGCAGAGCTTTCAGACAGTCTCAACTGATAGACAGACACATCGAGCTGCTTTTCCTGCTTCAGCTCTTACTCCTCCTCCTCTCGCCAACGTCACCCTGACAATTACAAATAGGTCTCTCACAAACCATACCTGTCAATCTTTTTAATTGCTTTGTTTTCTTTTTTTTTTTCTTTCCGGAGCTAAACAATATGACACAAAAAAGAAATCTTAATACAGCATAACATAAACGATTGCACACTGGAGAAAGACATTGAGGGGTTTGTGATTATAATCCAGTGGCTGATACCGGGTAAAACCCATGTGTTATAAGCCAAGTTAGGTAGACACTAGTTTCTGCAGATTTTTAAACCTCTAAGTCACCCCCCACCCCCGTGAACATTCATACACACGCACCCACGTGGAACACAAACTAGCCTTGGATGAGAACGTCCGACATTTGAGATAAAAATACCTGTGTCACTTTTGCAGTCTTGGTTTGGGGGTTAGGTTTGATTGGGGAGGGGCACCGTGTGGCTTTTTTAATTTTGGTAATCCTAGGTAAGCGTAAAACAGGAGGGTTTTTAAAATTAAAATGGATACCTTTAATAAACATTTTAAAATGGGCTCAGCTCATCATACAAAAATGTGGAAAATATTTAATTTGGCCCTTCTATGAAAAGTGAATTGATTACTTGGTCAATATAGACAATTAGGGAGAAAACTGAATTGAAGGAACGGCACATCTTTCTAGCTGGGTTAAAAAAGGAGGTCTTCATACATAATTTCAATGTCTCCCGTTCAATTAAGTCCTTCGGCATCCCCACCTAGAAGTTAAAATGCTTATGTGCTCTGAGAATTTGGCCCTCTAGTCTCCGATGTGTGTTCTTTCCCAATGGGAAACCTGTAACAGTCTTGTAGAGGCTACTTAAAACATTCATGGAAACACACGATATCTAGGCCAAAATACATAAAATGGCTTAGTTCGTGCAACTTGCTTGGGACAGACAGGCTGAGGACAGAAAGCGCGGGCGAGGCGTTCCGGGAATGGGGGGCCAGGAGTCTGGGGCGCAGGGTGCTCTGGGCGCCCCCGCCCCGCGTTCGGTGCTTGTGCGCGTGCACTGGTGGCGGGGGCTCCCCGCGCGGCTCGGGGGCCCCCGGCCGTGCCCCGCCGCCCCGGCCGCGCTCGGGGTTGATTCGTACCACCTTGCAAGGAAGTGAACGCTTCGCACGGGAAGGGGAGGTGCCTGTGCCGGCCGCCGGGCGCCGCGCCGCTCCGAGGACGCCCGGGGCTGCAGCCGGCTCGGGGCCGCGGCAATCGCGGGACGCGCGGCTCCCCTCGCCGCCCCCCTCACCCTTTTAGTGGAGTCAAATCCGGCTTTTAGAGCGAGGGGAGGGTGGGGATATCCGGTGCCTCCCGGACGCCGGGAGAAAGGGGGAGGGCGGAGAGGATCCTTGGCCAGTCTGCGCCGAGCAGATTCAAACCAAAACAAAAAGATTAAAGGAGCAGCGGCCGGGGTGGCAGCGATCCCCAGGCCGGGACCCCGGGGGTGGCGCGTCCGGGAACCGCGGGGGCTGTGCGGACTGCTGGCGCTGCGCGCGGCGGGGGAGCGGGGGGGGGGGGGGAGGGGGGGCCAGGCCCGGGGGGGGAGGGGGGGGGGGGGGGGGGCGGGAGCCGGTCCTTGGGGGGAAGCGGGGGGAGTCGAGGGGAGCACGCCGGCCGGAGGAGGGGCGGACCCGCCTGCTCCGCCCGCCCGCTCCGAGCCAAGCCGAGCCGAGCGGCCCGGGCTGGGCGCGACCCCGGCCCGCGGCGGCGCAGAAAGCGGGCAGAGGCGCGGGCCATGCTGCGGCTGGCGCCCGCCGGGACCCGAGCCATCGTGGACATGTCGTACGCCCGCCACTTCCTGGACTTCCAGGGCTCCGACATCCCCCGCGCCATGCAGAAGCTGGTGGTGACCCGGCTGAGCCCCAACTTCCGCGAGGCCGTCACCCTGCGCGGGGACTGCCCGGTGCCACTCCCCGGGGACGGAGACCTCCTCGTCCGGAACCGGTGAGCCCGGCGCGCGCCCGTTCCCCCCTCCCCCGACCCTGGCCGGGCCCCGGCCCCCGCTGCGCCGCTTCCCGGCTGTCCCGGGCCCGCCTGCGTCCCCGCACACTCCGGCGAGCGCTCGGGCGCACAGCCTGACTTTGCGAGATCCCGGGAAGTTGAACCCGCCGCCATCTGGCGAAGGCGAATGTAATGTGACGGTTGCTGGTGTGAATATCCGATGCCACCGAACGTCCTCATAACTGAGGGTTATTTTAATTTGGGATTCCCCTCCCCTCCCCCATCCCTGCCTCCTCCCCCTCCCGCTCCCGAAATAAAACCGACGGGACCTAGAAGGGGAGGCTCCCCGCCCGGCCCACCCGCGCGCACCCACGACTCCTGCGTTCCCATAATCTTTAGTGTGGACCAGGAACGGGCTGGACACAAACTGCGTCGTTTAGGTAACGTGCTTTGGAGGAAGGAGGCCGAGGTCCCGGCTGGCTTCTCCTGTGCGCTCCAGGTTGGCAGCCGCCTCGGAATGGCGGAGCCTGTCGTTGGGTGTGTTGGTGTGCACCTCGCCGGTGTCGTCTGCGTGTTGTCAGTGCTGTATGGCTGTTGTCTGTGCCCCAGAGCCTACCGACAGGCGCGTGGCGCGTCTGGGGCGGCTGGGTCAGGACCGGGGTGGTGGCACGGCTGCATTTGCCTGCGCGTTTTGCAGACCTTTGGGTGGCACTCGGGTGGGTTTGCCCTACCTTCTGACCGTCTCCTCCACCTCCACACTCCCTACCTTAATGTGTTTACAGCTCACTAGTCTTCAGGAACTGGTGAAGCGCAGGAAGGAAAGGGACCTCATTCTGTGGGAGCCCTGCCCTCCGGTCTCTGTTCGCTGGGTCCCCTAGCTGCCTGACTTGCAGGCTGGGCGTTCCCCATTCCTCGATCCCCTATGTTAGAGCAGGACTCGCCCGCCTGCTCGGGCGCATCCGAGGGGTTACAGTGTTGCATGTTTCCTCCGATTGAAGGAAGGAGTGAGTTCTGAGTGTAACTATATAGCAAATTGTTTCTTGGAAAGTACTGTAAGACCCCTGAAAGGCGTGAAAGACAAAGTGTACCCTACCCAAGTGGCTTGATGCAGTGTTTAATCCGTTTATTTTAGAGATTCATATCAGCCTTCCAAAGACTGCAAAATTGAATAATTCTGGTCATGATATAAAACTTTTGGAAACCTGTTGGAAACGTAAATTTGAGGGAGCCAAGAATGGGGCTGAGTGGAAGCTGGCTCCGGGCGCGGTGCGGAGAGCGCCTTAAAGGTGGATGTGTGTGTCCTAAAAGTTTTCATGGGTGGAAACAGGGCTGCAGAGGATTTCTTCATTATGGGATAAAGTGCTAAAGCTGTTGAGATAAGGACTTGCATCCTACCAAGTTAAAAAGAAGGAACACAGAACACAGAACATACAAGTCACACGAGTGATTTGCTAGAAGTTGAGATGAGAAGCAGGCTGAAAAGCTCAGACTTTAACAAGCAAAAAGTTTTACACAGGCTGTTTTCTTTTCTTGTAATGTTGGTGACCAAATACACTACTGACTGTGAGCATTGATGTAAAAACACGCACCACTGCTTGAATAAAATCCCCTTTAGATACAGGGTGTGAAGTGGGGAGGGGGCGACTGAGCAGAGCAGGCGGAAGAAGGTGTGAAGTTAGAGCACAACCAGCTGCTGCGGAGTGGGGCCACCGGCCAGCTCTCCATGGAAGCTGCTCCCGCCCGCTCCCCAGGCCGGCCGGCATCTCTACCTGTGAAGTGCCTCAAGTGCTCAGGTTGTCCTCCCCTCCTCTGGCTCCTCTCCCCGCTTGCTCACCATCACCCCTCGCCTTCCCTGCCGGTGCCCAGGCGCCCCCTGCGCCGGGTCGCCAGGGAGGGTCCCTGAGTTGGGTGGTCAGGATTCTGGAGCGCCAGCTCTCTCATGTTTGGAGCTCTTTGGTTTGGATTGCTTTAGGATCCATGCCTGTCTTTTCCCTCCACATATGCCAAGAGTCCCTTTAATACAAACCGTATACTTTTATTTACAACTTGACCTCTAACTTCTACGTTGAAGCCCGCATCAGAAAGAGAATGGAACCAGTTTTCTGCACATTGAGAGGAGATGAAATCTTTGCATCCCCTTTCCCTACTCTGTGGGAAATCTGCACCCTATCCCCAAATTGTAGGGAGATCCTTTATACTTGGCAAATAGTGTCAGGGGAGGAGGCATTTTTTTTTTTTTAAGAGCAAACTGCAGGTCTGTTTACTGCAGGTTAGTTCATTTTAATCCTAGACCAAGTCTCCAGAACAGTGTTAATTGCATAAAAATTTTATGCAAGCACTTTTCATTTTTACCGTAATAAAAATCTGCTCTGGAATGAATGGCATAAGCATACATTGACTTGTTTAGAAAGGTGTTTGGGGATTTTAACTGTGCACTGCCTGACTTTTCCTTTCATTTGGATATTTGCACATCTCATCCCATCTTAACAGAAAATACAAATTCTTCATTCACAGAGAGGGAAGTGCTTTAAGCCTGGCGCAGATTTAGGATAATCAAGTTTATTCCATTTAGGAAAAGTGTGAGAGGGGCGCTTAAAATCCCTGCAGAACATGTAATTGATGTTCCTTTATCCACTTCTCACTTTTCCTCATACATCCGAGGACAACTTCACATCTCCTCCCAATGCCCAGCCCTCAGCAAGAGAAGGAAGAAAGACACCCTCCCGGTTAAGTCAGCTTGCGTGCTATTTTTAGCTTTTTTTTTCCTGAAGGATAGTGACATATTATTTCGTTTCCAAATCTTTCTAACGATTTTCTGCTCAAATGTAAGATAATGGAGCAAAGAGTTTGTAGGAATGGCAAAGAGCCGGTGGGGGATGGGGAAGGCGTTTTTGATAAACGGTTTGTTGCTCATGGGAGGGTAACAGCATTTCTGCTGACTCTCCAGGCCGAGGTTTTCTTTTATTTTTCTTTCTTTTCTTTAATTTTTTCTTTTCTTTTCTCTTACTTCTTCTCTTTCCTCCCTACCTTCTTTCCTTCTTTCTTTTTAAGAAAATCTGATCTGGACGACTTTGTTTGTCTCCCAATATTGAAGACTCTGGACTTCACGTTTTGTTTTTGTTCAAAGCAAGCGTTCCCCTCCCTCTGCCCGACTGCCTGTTTCATAATAAACATGACGAAGGGGTTCAGCACTTTTTAGTATAAATAAACGGGACGCCTCTCCAAGGATATATATTTGGGGAAAGCCCGCACCGGCCCCGGTCTTTTTCTGGGGTTCCTCGATTTTAGGCTTCCGAGTGGATCATCCAGTCGGACGGCTAGAACCCTGCACTTATTCAGAGCATATATTTTAAATTAAAGAGGGTACAAGGAGAGTCTCGAAATGCGCGCATTCTACCAAAAGCGTGTCTTTCCTTTCTTTTTCTCGCTCGCTCGCCCTTCCTGTCCCCTGCTCTCCGACCCAGGCCCCCTTTCCCACCGTGTCCGCTGCTCTTGAACTTGTTTCTGGAGGAGCGCAAGGCGCGGCCTCCCAAGCCTCACGCAGCCCTTTCCAAAGCCCAGGGAAGGATGGAGGCGCGTGCGGGCAGCGGCGTATCCCCACCTGCTGCGGCGGCCGCGCGGCGTCAAAGCGGGGGACCGGGGGAGGCGGGGGGCAGGGGCCGGGCCCGGGGCCCGGGGACCCGGCAGTGGGTGACACGCGCCGAGGCTCGGAGTAGCGGAGGGCTGTAGCCACCAGCCTGAGACTCTTACCTACGACGCAGGCAATTTAGAAGGCGGCAGGACGGGGGGGGGGGGGGGGAGACACGGAAAACGGGGGTGCACCGGAGGCCAAGGTCACGGTCCGGCCGCCCCAGGCCGCCATCCTGGCGCCGCGGCGCTCCAGAGCGCCCTGTGCTCGGGACACCCCCCATCACCACCGAGAGCTTGACCGCCCCTGGGTCCGAGCTCCACGGCCTGCGCTGACTACACTTGCCCACCGGACCCCCACCTGGCCCAGAGAGGCCGAGGTCACGGTCGCAGGCCTGGGCGGCGGCCCCTACCCTCGACGCCTTGCCGGCTCGGCCCGGCCGCAGCCCGCTCCGGGAGTCAGAGGCACTGGGAGCCTCGCAGTGGTGGCGGCGGGAGGCCCGCACCGGAGGTAGGGAGGCCCGCACCGGAGGTAGGCAGGCCGCCAAGGCCGGGCACTTCCGAGGGGACACAGGTCCGGAAGGACTTCTGGCGCCCCGCAGGCTGGCTGGGGCGCGGAGGGTGCCGCAGGGGAGACGCAGAGCTGTCTGCAACCTGGACGGGGCGCACCGAGGTAAACTTAAGCTGCCGCTGGTCGGCTGCAGGCACCCCAGCTCCCAGCAGAGCCCACTCCCACCTCGACTTGGCCGTCGCTCCCCCCTCTGGCGCTTGTGCCCTCTCCCCTCCGCTTTTCTCCCGTGTGTGCCCTGCTTGGTCTTGTCACCTCTCCCGGGAAAGTGGCAAACCACAGAGGGAGAATGGGGGAGGTTTTCCTCCAGCAGCCCGTCCCCCCTCCCCCGCAAGGCGCTCTCCTTAGAGGTGGGGAGGACCCCAGGGGCCAGCCACCACGGGATGTCCCACCTCCAACGCTTGGGGGTTGCGCCGCAGAAGAGGGCCTCTCCAGTGGGGACTGAGACAGGAGGGGAGAGGGGCACGGGAAGGGTTAATTGTGGGCCCAGAGACCGGAGCTGGCGGTCGGGCCTCAGTCTCCCACCTCTGGAGCAAACCGCAGCCTTCACTTCCACCCCGCAGACCCCTCCCTGGACTTGGCTTTACTGCCTACAGCAGGGGCAAGGGAGGCGAGACACTCCAGCTGGACTCTGCCCTGGCGGCCTTCTCTGAAGTCCAGAGGCAGCTCTGAGGAAGCTAGCCCTTTCTAAAAAGACCCAACCTTGAGAATTATGTAAATTTAAAGGGAAGATAGCAGGGGGCCTCCCAGCCCCAAAACAGAATGTAAGCATCTTGGTATTAAATCCCAAATAAAAAAAAAACAAAAAATCATTTTTTGCACTTTTCATTACTGCGTTATCATCCTTGGCTATGGAATTCTGTAGTGTGTTCTTGAGGCTGTGTGGTGTGCTAACTTCTGAACGCAGCTTGACATGCCCCAAAGAAATTGTTCCCTGCTTTCTTCTTTCTACAATATGTAGAGAGCTTTCAGTATTGTAGATATACAGGGCATAATCATAAGGGAGCATTTATAAGTGCAAAGTGTTATCTATAATATGGTGGAAGTGGAGCCTTGTACAGGGCAGTTTTGGTTTATTAAGTTAAATTAAAAGTGAATTATTTTAAAATGACCTACTTGCCAGCTTTCCTCGTGCCACCAGACACCACCATCTTTTTCATTTCATTACAGGTGGAAATGACATTTTTAGGGTCCTCCATTATGTGTCTAAGCCACCTCCTGACATTTTTTAGTAGATGGCTTTTTTTTTTCTTCTTAGGTATCAGGATATTTTTGTTATGAGGTATACCAAGATGAAAAAAAGCTGGTAAAAATACCGACCTCGCAATTAAATTGACTCTGGATACCAGAGTGAAAATAATCATCTGGTATTAATCAAGTTATGTCTCTGCTTCTTGTTGAGGAAAAATATAGTGACGATTTGCTTTCCTTTTCATCTGAAAAGGACTGTAAGATGTTGAATGTTCCATAAAACTCCCTACCCTTATGAGACAATTTTTGTTCAATTAATCAAAATGCATATTTTCATGCTGGACATAGTTACATCAGAAAGAAAATCTGCTGCAGACACTCTTAACAGTGTTTTAAACAACCCCCGCAGTAACATGTAACAACCGATGACCTTGCACACTGCGTCAATCTTCAATAATATCATTGTCATTACTGTTATTATCCGAGGTGTTAAATTGTTGCCAGAATCAATGCAAGTCTATTTCTTTGAATATATTTTATCTCACTGTTGTTTTTTAACATCTTTGTTAAGAGGCCAATTAATTTCCAACTCCTAGGTCCAGTGGAGTTTGTATATAAGAGGGCTTCCTGACTTTTTTTTTTTTTAATGCTTTATTTCTCCTTTTGAAAGAAAGGGGAGGAAAATAAATAGCATGTGAAATAAATAACTTGATGCTTAAAGTGGTATGAAATGATCCCTAACCTGATTTAAAAAATAAAATATACCAAATACTTGTTTAATTTCTCTTTTTCAACTGAATATCAGGACTGATTTATTTTTTATTTTTTTGGAATCCTACCAGGATAGATACCTTAGCCACCCATCCACAGTCATTGGAGTTAGAGGAATTTTTCTAAGTGGAATATCAAGGCCTTGACAAAGAGAACACCTTAATATATTTGTTTGTTTGCTTTCTTCTAGATTTGTCGGTGTCAATGCATCTGACATCAACTATTCCGCGGGCCGATATGACCCTTCAGTCAAGACCCCCTTTGACATAGGTTTCGAAGGTGTGGGAGAGGTGGTAGCCTTAGGCCTGTCTGCCAGTGCCAGGTATGCCGTGGGCCAGGCTGTGGCCTACATGGCCCCCGGCTCCTTCGCTGAGTACACGGTGCTGCCAGCCAGTGCCGCAGCTCCCGTGGCCTCTCTGCAGCCCCAGTATGTCACCCTGCCGGTAAGTGCTACCACTGCATACATCAGCCTGAAGGAGCTCGGAGGACTGTCGGAAGGGACAAAAGTTTTGGTGACGGCAGCAGCTGGGGGGACAGGCCAGTTTGCCATGCAGCTTGCAAAGAAGGCCGGGTGCCATGTCATTGGCACCTGCTCTTCCGATGAAAAGTCTGCTTTTCTGAAATCCATTGGCTGTGATCGTCCTATCAACTATACAACCGAGCCCGTCAGCACTGTCCTGAAGCAGGAGTACCCCAAAGGTGTGGATGTGGTATATGAGTCCGTCGGGGGCGCCATGTTCGACTTGGCCGTAGATGCCTTGGCTATCAAGGGGCGCTTGATAGTCATTGGATTCGTGTCTGGCTACCAAACTCCTACTGGCCTTTCTCCTGTGAAAGCAGGGACATTACCAGCCAAACTGCTGAAGAAATCTGCCAGTGTCCGGGGCTTCTTCTTGAACCATTCCCTTTCTAAGTATCAAGCAGCCATGGACCACTTGCTTAAGATGTATGCGGGTGGAGACCTGGTCTGCAAGGTGGACCTTGGAGACCGGTCTGCGGAGGGCAGGTTTATTGGCCTGGAGTCTGTATTCCGGGCTGTTGATTATATGTACATGGGAAAAAACACTGGAAAAATTGTAGTTGAATTATCTCGCTCTGTCAGCAGTAAGCTGTAAAAGCAGAACAATGACATAAATCAAAGGAGAAAGAAAATGGGCACTTTATTCCTCAGAATTACTCAAATCAAGTTATTTGTAGTTGGTTAACGGGTATAATATTTCTTAAAACAAAAGTCAGGTGTTAATGAGTAAGTTTCTCTTTCTTTTTTTTTTTTTTATTTTTTTGTGGGGGAGGGGGTTTGCCCCTCCCTTGAAAATAATGCTAATAAAAACTTCTCTCGATGGCTCAGAGGTAAAACCGTTATATTCGATTCTTTGGTCATGGACAGTCTCATTCCAGATTTTATTATTCCAGAGAATTAAATTAATTCCTGATGCAAGATCTGATCAAATCAGTATGTCTTGAGCTTGATGAGATTTTAAAATCGGTCTTGAAAATAGCCCACAAATTCTTTGCTTTGGGAGAGTTTGGTCGTACACTAATGAGCAGTTAATAAATGAGAGATAGAGCAGAAAAGCAGCCATATATTTTCAGAGTCCATATTCGCAGGAAATGGCCCTTCCTTTTCTATAAATCACCAACTCTCTAACTAGAAATTTGGAGGAATTCTCCCAAAACTTTGATTTTTGTTAGGTCAATAGAAAAATGCCTATGTGAACGCAGACCTCTTTTTAAAAAGTGTCTATTATTTAATGCTTTATGCACAATTATCCCAGTGAGACCTGTGTGGAACCGGAAGCTTCTCTCTGCCCTTAAGAAGCAAATTAGGGTTGAAAACTGATAAGACAAAAGCAGGCTTTGGAAAGGGATACTACAGAGTTTGGGGGCAAGCTTTAAAAACTTAGTACCTGCCCAGGGAGAGAGAGGAGGTGCTGCGTCCATGAGGAGAGTCTGCATAACAAAGGGAAAGCACTCTCTAGGCACTGGGCCAGAGAGTAATAATAGCATCCTTCCCAGGCCTGAAGTAGGATGTATCAGACAGCACTGTGCAGAGGAGGGACTGACGCAATCTAAAATAATCAGACACTCGCTTCGTGTTTCAGACTTTCGGACACGGTGTGTTTTATCTCTGATCTTGGAAACAGAATAGTGTGTGTGGCAGAGCGCACTGTCCTGTGTCCCCATTTTACTTCCCCACGCGTTCTGTGGGAACGGGCTGCACCTCGTTACTAGTGCCCACTGCCCATGTCACACGTGAGAGCAACGTCACGAGCCTTCTCGCAGCCCAGCTGCCTGCCTCCTCACCGTCAGCTTGCCAAAGAAGGCTACAACTCTCATTGCGAAGTTGGAAATCCCATAGTGCCTTTCTAATTGAAGGCAAAGCCCACCGGATTATTTTTCAAAGCCCTGGGTTTTCAGTGTCTCTAAATGCTAAATAAATGTGAACGCAATTAAAGATGCTCCAGGAAACTTGGCGACCATATTTAATTTTTCTTTCCTCCCATCTGAGGAGCGAGGAGATCCTACTTCTGAATAGCTGTTAGTATCTATTTTACAAGATTTACTCATTTTCAGGTACCTAATGTAGCTGCTAGCATGCACGCACAACAATACAATTTATATGGTAAATGGGACCAAATAATGGCTTCACTGAATGTTAGGGCTGCACTGAAGGGAGATGTCACGGTAAATAGCCGCCAAATTATGGATCATGCCGAAGTGTCACAACTGCACTAAAGACAAATAGCACCGGAGGCTATTGCCGCTGTGACGCTTCTGAGTTATGAAGAAGGGTAGCAGCCTGATTCGAGGCTCTTTGTGTCCTCATTATAGCAAGGGGTTAGTAGTGCGGGGTACAAGAGAGGTTGGCCCAACGTGGTGCTCGGTTATTAATCTGCCCCTTTCAGACCTAACAGCTCTGGCCAAACGGAAGGAGACTCTCCCCGGCTTTCAGATACACAAACACACACAGGGGAGGGGACAGGTTTTAGGAACAGAAGTGCCCAGGAAGGGACTAGTAATGGGCGAACATTGTAATCAAATCATCCCATCCAAGAAGATGATGAAATTTCCCGTAGTATCTGTTGCTCCCCATGCAGATAGATGTGTGAAGTCTAAACCATAATGCACTTTCTCCCTTCGTCGAGACTCGAGGAGCAAGGACACTGCCAACTAAATTGCTTCTTCGAAACTGAAGTGCGTCCCGGTTTCTTTCATGTTAATGGGAGGGTAATAAAGATGAAAGACCAACATTTTAATGGATGGATCCCTTAAGCTACAGAATAGAAATTTATGATGTTTTGAAGGAATATACTAAATTCAGCGACATAAAAAAAATTTTTTTTTCAAACACCCAGGTTTAAAATAAAATATAATCTGAAAACCTCATGCTCGCTTTCCCCAAACTCAGGAACTACAGTGCATGCTGTTTTCATTTATTCTTAGAAAACAAGCATGAAAGATTCCGCCCATTCAGATAATGCCAAAAATATGTTTAAACTTTTTTTTTCTTATTCTGAAAAATGATTTGTAAATTGAGGGTCATAGTTCAGTATCAGTTTCATCTTCTGGGATTATCGTTCAGGACCAGCCTCTAATGGGAGGTGAAATGGTGCAATGCTCTCAACACCTTTCTTCTGAACTGTATTACATATCACAAAAAGTACATCCATAATTCAGGGCAATTGTCAGTCTTTGTTTTAGAGACAGGGCTGGGGCTGAGCGATCATGGTGGATGAATTATTTCTCGGTTCTCAGGGTGGCCTTCTCTGCACCTCAGCCTTGAGGGCTCTGGCTGGGCAGATGGAGGGGTTTGACTTTGAGAAGCTATTCTTTGCCATTCCATTGTGACTTCTAAAAAAGCAAATGCTATTCCTTCACATTTGTTTTGCATGCAAAAAAAAAAAAAAATACCAATGGTGTCATTCCGGGTCTCTTTGACGATGACTCCTGCTAGTAAATATTGTCAGCATTTAAAAAAAATTTTTTTTTCAGGGAATAGTTCATAAAGAAATGACGCGGAAGTTTTGCTTGATAGGCTCTATACATTGTTATTATATGATTTCATCTGAATGGAGTTTCTCAAGAGTAGGATAGAGCCTCTGTAAATGGTCATTAGTATTACATTCAGTATTTATCTAATGAAAGTGCAGTGACAAGTAGCTGCTTCTTATTAAAATGAAAATCCTGCGTTATGTACTTAAGGAACATTCCAGCTAATGAGGATGTAATGTCCTCAGTACAACACAGACCTTCTTTTTGTGTTCCCCACCACAAGACGCTGGAAACTTGACAAATGATATCATTTAAGACACATGCCTGCCGTAGGGACCTGCTTTTTGGCTTCCTGTTTCTGGCTTTTATTTGGGTAACATTTATAATGGCCACCGGACTTGAAACGGGTAATGTTTTAACCCCTTCGTAGAGTTCCCAATTAGCATGAATTTACTACATTCAGGGTTTCTTTTAAAATGGGGTGTTTAGTACTGAAAATATTTTTCTTGATCACTTTACCACATGTACATATGGGATAAATACATTTTAGATTTATATAAAAACAGATGAGCAGCATGCAACTTTCAGAAAAAACACGATAGAAAAAGACCAAGCACAATCAACTGTGGACGATAATTTCCTAGGGGTTACAATACACGTTTTATGAATGTAACCCAGATGTGAAATGGCCTGATTTGATGGGCTCCTAATCCCTGTTCTCTGTCCTTCCCTCTCTCTTCTTTTATTAACGATTGTTTGTTATTTATAGTACTTATTTAGAGACACGAAATTTATCTATGCAAACATTATTCGTGGGGATTGGTTGGGGTTTTTTTGAAAGTTCGATTTTTCTGTAACTAATGTTGTAGTTATGGCCCAGAATTAAAGATTTAGGATCACATTTCAGAAGTCAGACATGAAACTCTGGATTCTCCATACCACGGATGTGGGCATTTTAAACTTTAAATTCTATTGCTTACTAGACCTTTAGCATTGTTATTTCAACTTATAAAGAGAGGAATGTTCAATATGAGAACCTTATTGCTGTGACCCTGAGCAAACTATGGGACGTTGCCAAGAGAAAAAAAAAAAAAAAAAAAAAAAAACGCTATCCAAAATACGGAAGGAATATTTTTACCAACAAGTAATTCTTGAGAGTAGAGAGTTGATATTCAGGGAAGGTCAAATCGGGTAGGCGCGTGAGGTTTCTATGCAAGCCTTTCCCTAGATCTGCGTACCGATGAACTGTGACGTTAAGACTGAGCTCGCATCTGTTCCCAATACGACGGCTTCTGCCAGCATGGACCTGCCCTTCAGGGCCGGCTCATGCTTCTCCAGGGGCGCGGACACTCCCGGGAAGCGTGTCTTGGATCCCTCACATGGGAGGCTACGTACTGTAGGGAGTAGTTTGGGGGAACCAATATGTGCCTCGTATGTGCTGGAAAGCACTAAGCCTAAAGGACAGAGATTCCAACAGCCCCCCAAAGTAAGAGTTTCCCTTGAAGGGCACTATCTGACAGTGCCTTTCTGCCAACACGAAATTAAAATAATAATTAAAACACACCCTGCTGACTGGCGGTAGCATCCAATAGGAGACGGATTGCTGCTTTGAGCTCAGAAAAGGGTTCCATATGATCGTCAGCCACTGCCCTGCCTTACCCTCTCCAAAGAGCTAAACTGTATGTTAGAATGACTTGCATGGACGATGTCTTTGGTCAGTGGAGATGTAGGAACGTGTTCAGGGATGCGAGGGCGTCCTGCTTAGAAGCGTCTGCCTCGCTGCCTGTGTGCCTGCCCCTGGGAGGTCGGCCAGCAGAAACTTAGAGCTGGGAGGAGCCCGGACCCTCTCCGCCCCTCATAAAGGAAAAGACTCAGTTGTCCTTTAAATGGTAAAATTTGGGATTTAATCAACAGTCTACTCCTACCCATTGTATAAATGAAGAAACCAAAGCCCAGGAAGGGTAGGTGCCTCTTCTAGGGCCACAGAGTTCACCAGCCTCAGAAATGAAGCTAGAACATAGGCAGGTGCCTGTCCAGGGCACCGAGCAATCACTGGCTTATCCCCTTCGTAATTTGCCAAGGTCCCTCAGTACGTGGCTGATTAATAGTATTGCAGAATAACAACTGGCCTTTGTTATAAATCTTTTTGTGGATGAGATGACGATCAACCCAGGAAGAATATCACGGTTGAGACCGCAAAAGTGTGTTCACTCAGGACCCCCCTTAATCGAGCACAAGTCATGGTTCCAGATCATTTGATTCTGTGTCATCTAAATATCACACAAGCTTCTGGGGGTAAAAGTACTCAGTGGAATTAAGGATTCAATGCTCACAATTTCGTTTTAATGCTACAAGGAAGTCTCTGTCAATGTATTCCTGGATGTGCAATCATGAAAATCAAAGAAAATCTTTATTATCATGTGTTGAGTGGGTTTTTTTTTTTCTAGAGCCATTTCACCTGCTTATGTTATTGCCTGTAGAAAGCTGATGTTTGACCATCATAATTTTTGTACCAGCAAAACATCTAGAATCTGAATCTGCCGTTCTACCTGAAATCAACTCTGAATCCGGCAGACGCAGGGCTGTAATGCGTGGACGCGTGTGCCGGCAGCGGGGGGCGGGGGGGGGATGCTGTAAGGGGCAGGGGATGGGGATGACACTAGTGGGTCCCACGTGTGCTCACGTGTGGCAGGAATCGCATGCTCAGAGACAAGCCCTTCAATACCACATGACGTTGAACATTCATGCCTCTCTACATCATTCCTGTCTTCCTTGAACTCATGCGTAACAAGCGCAAACTTTCAACTTTACATGAACAAATCCTTTCCCGATAGAAACAGCTTCTTTTCACATTGAAAAAAACCCCTCTTGGGAACAGCAACAATGTCAAAGGCAATCTCATTTCATAGAAAACCTCACTTCTCACCAGGGGACTGGAAGCAATAGTGGCCCCTCTCTATGTTGTTGGAATTTACATTTGGAAATTGAATTGTCTCCTTGAGGGTCTTTGCTCAAAGTACCTTTTGGAGAATTTCTTATATCCAGGTACAGTAGGGTACTTGGAAGGAGACAGAGGTGAAGCAGGACCAGTGTCCCCCCCCTTCCCCAGATGGAAAATCTGCTCATTCTCTAAGCAGTAAAATTAAATTGTCATTGCCGAAGAATATTTGTCGTTTCAACTTTTACATGCAGTTTGCACGCCCTCTTGAAACTTGCTTACAAATTTGACTATTTGAAAACAAGGTCACTATCTTCCCCTCTTTTACTATTAGATAAGCAAAGGGGTAGAGGAGTGATACCCATTTCAGAGGTGGGCAGAGTAAGGTGCAGAGAAATGATTTGCCTTTGATCCCTCAGCCACAGGTTGAACAGAGCCTGGGGCCCATGGATAATTCTCAGACCAAGGCTGGTTGTGTTTCGTTTTGTTTTGTTTTCCCCCTAGAAAGTCTTGCTTGTCCAAGGTCACCGGGCACACACATCACCTGTTGCAATGCAGGTCCTGATGCCGCAGGTCCAGGGTGGGGCCTGAGAGTCTGCGTTTCGCGGGTGATGCCAAGGCTGCTTCTCGGGGGAACACACTTGGAGTAGGAAGGCACAGGGTCACACTGCTTTTGAAGAGATTTCCCGTGTTGGGACAGGCCGTGTCAGAAGGCACTTCTGAGCAACCCGAAGGCTACCTGGTAGGAGTTACAAAGACGAGAACGTGATAACAACTCTGAAAATGGCTGCCTTTTATCGGCACGTTTCCAACTTCTTTAAATTAGCCTTTCCTTCTGAAATTCAGCTGTGACACCCGCCGTCTGTCTGCTCTTTAGGGTGCCCTGTAGCAGCTATATCCAGGCAGGTCTGGAGGCTGCAGACAGGTAACGGGACTGTCCTGGGGCCGCTCGGCAAACGGTGACAGCAGACGCCTCACCTCCATGTTTTCACTGCCTTTCAAATAGAAGCAGATCTCAAAAGGACCAAAACTCTTCCCATTTTCCTTCAGCTTCTACAGTCAAACTCTTTGACATGCCACTGTCCTTCCTGCCCGGGGTCCCCAGCTAAACACAGTCCTTTTGTGGGAGCGCTTGGTGCAAAGGCCAGCCGTCCTGTGTGGGTCTGCCCTCAGCCGGCATGTGCGCATCATTAACACGGTATTTTACAATTCTCCTGAGGAAGGCGAGAGCACCCAACTGACATCCGCTTTCGGATCAGGTCACTTGGAACAGGCACCGTGGTACCACGTGTAGCCTTTATGTAAAGATTGGCCCATAGAATTTACAGTAATTGAAGAGGCCGTGGCCTTCATCGGGGAAAAGTTACAATCCATCCGAGCGCTTCTTAACATACCAGCGTAGTAATCAGAGGGAGAACTGTCTGGCTGGGAAAGGGTAAGAAAGCATCTCGAATTCAAAAAGGAAGCTAATTGAGTTGCAGCTATGATCTAGGTTGGGAGCAGACAAATAGCCCTGGCGGGAGGCCGGAAAGCAACATTCCAGCGCCCAGCTCCAGTGCGTTACCGTTACCGTGTGCGAGGGGACGAGCCCCCGGGCCACCCAAGGGAGCCTCTGGCCCCCGCCCTCCATGTGGGGCTCTGACTTACCCGAGCACTTGTGGCCAAGCCACCACCCCCACGGGAGGGGCCTCGGAGTTGAGCAGGAACAGCAAGAGCATCACCCCACTTGCGTTGACCCACAGAGCTGGGTGCAGTTTGGGGAATCAAGATTGGAGGCGGGGATCCCGATGACCTCAGATAATTCCCGGGGAGGACAGGGAGGGCAGGAGCCAGGTGGGGGCAAGGGGAAGTTAGACGGCTCTCGGGTTGGGCCAGGGAGCAGAAAGGCAGCACCTCTTCTGTATGTCAACTTCTCGGGGTCTCCGGAGACCCCCAAACGCAAATCCGAGAAATGCTGGAGACTCCAGGCTTCCAGGTGGGACCTTTTCCTTGATCAACGAGCTTAAAAAAATGCGGCTCTCAGTTAATAAAGGGACTGGCGGGTAATAACAGAAGCAGCTTGCTGCTTGCCTGCCTTAAGTGGCTTATTTATTTTCACGACTTTCCCAGTCCTGTCGAGGCAAAGACAGTTACTCTCACCTGTGGGCTCCATTAGTGCTCTGCTCATACTTCATTTCTAGCACTTTCCACGGAGCCCCAGGATCTATCTATTTGCATGTCTGTCTCCCTGGAGACTGTGAACTCCATGAAGGTAAAGCCTGCCTCACTGGCACACCTGGGCTGGAACAGAGTACCTGCTGATAAATACCAAATCAATGTATACTTTGTATACTTTCCACATTTATTGGAAAATTGAACCAGCAGAAACCTGGTCCAGTGTCTCACGAGTGTCTACTCCCGCAGGATTCCCAGACAGGCACCGGCCCACGACCATTTCTCCAGTTGCAAATGAGCCCTTAAGACAATTGCCATGTGTGCTCTTCTTAATCCCACGTCCGTGTAACTTCTCTGCTCAGGGCTGCTCACCTGGAAAATCAGGTGACCTGATCTGAGCACCTGGGCGCTCTAACAAGGGATGATGCTGAGTCTGTGATGCCCACCTGTTGGTGCAACAAAGAAATATTCTCAACAGCACTTTTAATGTTCTGTTGGTGTCAGCCCAGTGTGCTAATTTAGTGCTAAAAATAAATCCCCCAAACACTGGACTTTCTCAAAACTCTAAATGGCTCTTCGGCTCCCCTCTGGGGATGTGTCAGAGAAAGTTACAATCGAACTGAATAAGGTCCCAAGAAGTGCCCAGCACGTAGTAGGCACTCTCAATACAGTACTTGAATGAATGAATGAATACCAAACCCTTGGAAAAATAAGAACTACCATTTAAGGATAAAACTAAAAAGATTTTCATTCTTTAGGGAAGGGTTTCTTTAGGATTCTGATCCTGTGCATGCCTCATATGTGAGAGGACCCATTCCAGAGGGGCGAAGGCGCCCTCTGTGACAGACCTGAGTTCAAATGCCTCCTCTCCCACCGACTACCACCATGACTCTGGGAAGATTCTTCACCTACAGGAGCCTCAGGCTCTTCCTTTGTTTCATTTGTCCCCCATCCGAGGGGACGACAATACTGACCTGTGGATGCAGTCGGATGAAGCGCAGAGAGCACTGGTCA